GTTTGCCAGAACCAGCTTCTCCTGTAGTTTCCGAGGACAGTAATTCTGATCCACCAAGCAACCGCCCCACTAGAGCTGCTGCTCAGCAATGCAAGCAGAAACTGCAAGCCTATTACAGCTCTGACCAAGAGCAAATCCCTTTCCATCCAATTTAAGTAACCATGATGATACTGTGGTGTGATGTCAAGTAACAAATCATTACAAGTCACTATGACCCAAGACATTCTTATCACAGTAGATTCTCAGTTATTTGAATTGTGTGATTTAAATTCTTAATTGTTGTATAGGCTATAAATAACATTATTTATCTAGAGTATCTGAGAGTTTACAGGCTTTGAGACTTAGTAACATACACATTACATGTCATAGCAACACCAGTCACAGAGTTTATTGTAAGCTTTCTTAGTTATCAGCTTTAGGATATTCATAATAACATGTTCCATTTAACATGAAATCTGCAAGACTTAAGTTTCTTGTATGTCCTTGACAAATACGGGACATTCGTTATGTGTGTACTAACATACTAATATACTAATATTAATACCAACTTCAGGATGGGTACGTCAGTACTCCACACTACACTGCAACCCGATAAATCTCCCCCCGGAGTTATGTTGGAAATTTCCAACACTAATACAACACTGTTGTATTATTATTAATTATTACTAAATCTACTAATCACTGTAGTAACTAAAATTAACCAACTGTAGAGTTCACATGTACTAATAATTGTATCTGTACAATAATGCTAGAATTCTTACGTCACCAGACGCCAGTATTGCGTCAGATTCCACCATAATAAACACATTTATATCCAGTGTGTCAGAGAATTGAGTTTGATTCTCTAAAAACAACAGTGTTCTGTGTGATAATTATTTACCAATAACCTGACTCCCAAATAATGCCAAATAGAGCGTTTCTAGTTACAACTGTTATCTGGTAATAAATTTAACGTCACGTGTGAATGCCATGGAGAGAATTAAATTTATCTCCATTGCTCGTTTACCATCGTAAAACGAGTAAATAATAATATTTAACTCCTCTGAATAATAAACCCGTCATTATCCAAGCATTTCAGTCGCAACTGCGAGAAATAATATTATTCGTACTAAATAATTTGTGTAGCAAATGCGGGACGCGGAGCGGGGGGCAGAGGAGACGCCATTAATCGAGAAGACGCCACCGAGAACGCGTGTAGGCGTTGACGAGAGAGGAAAGTCGCCACCGTGCGGTGTGAAGAATAGTTGCGGAATTGAGCAACTTGGCTGGTGTCAGTGTCATAGGATACATTGTGGTGAATGTGTCAACGAGAATTAACTTGACATTCAGCCCGGAACCTGTTAATTTGTTCCGTGTAGTCCATCGTGACCGGCCAGAGAAGCGCGTCGACATCTAGGCTAGGCTCAACGCCACGTGTTCGCTATTACGACGCTAGAGCCTAGGACGCGAGCTTCGGCAAGCCTCAACTTACACAGTGCCCTATTAACTAAGTACCTTTATTCCCTTTTGATGCATCATTAGAGATAGGTTATAGCCGGGTAGCTTGTCGTCACGCCGAGCGATATAAATAAAATACACGTTAGTATTTATTTTCACTCTCCATTACCAATTTCTTGAATATAGATATTTATCAACCTAATAGGTTGCTACGTAATATATCTTGATTTACAGCTTACGTGTGAAGAATTCCCCGAGCTGTCACTTTCCCGTGTTAATCATCTCCCAGTGTTCCATGATGAGTTCCGGAGATTCCGAGGATGATTCATGACTGATGTCTTGGAAAACGTCTTCAAGCTAAGACCTTTTTCCGTATTCCAATAATTAAATTATCTGTAGTGTATTATTACCATAGATCACTATTCACTGGATTTGACACGTGTTTATTATAATCATTAATTTCTGATATTCATAATCTATGTTCCTATTGGTGACAAATTTTATTGATTCTACAATTGGTCATAAGATTAGGTTATTACATAATGAACTGGTGCACGAACCACACAAGTTCCTAGACATATATGAAGTTCTAGTAATACCCCCCCCCCAATGTAGGTTTTTGAGGCTTTGATTCAATTAAATTATATACAGCCCATTAATTATATAAGTGATTATATTCTCTAGTATTTTATCCATAGTTACTGGTTCTTCTAGGAATTTTCTAATGATCACATTTTATTAGTTTCCCTCTTTACTATAAAAGCGGGTGGTCCTTCGTAATTGAATTCATTACATTATTAATTAATTAAATAGAGTCAAGCCCCAAATGTCCCACATAGACAACTAAGTTTGCTGTTATGTTATTAGATTTTTTTTAGGGAATCAGAAAATTAAAAACTATACATGTGATCTCTGTCAATGCATTCAAGAGTTAGCTGAGCTAGCTATATGTCAAACCCAAATCGGCTAATTTACACTATTTCCTGAACAAGCTAGTTCATTACCCCTAAGATATTATATACCCTACCTTAAGCACGGCCTTACCTAACCTGACCTAACACAACTAGAGCTGGATTTCAAAAGTTAAGCTGTCCCATCTAAATTTTTCCTAATTTCAGACAATTTCCACCAAATTTATCAAAATTTACCATAATCATAACACATTTAACCTATTCAATTTAATTTTAATATCAACTTCCCATATCCAGTCATCACATATCATATCCAAATCTCAAGAGCATTTCACACTTCTAGTGTTGTGTCCGTCTCACTATTTCCAGCATTTATTCTTGCATCACCTAATCTATTTTCAAACACCATATCACAATGTTTTACCTGTCTAGCAATTTTGAACAAGCAGCCCTCGCATAACATATCCCATTCTTAACACCATTTAATCACATTAAGTAAAAAACATACCTCGAACGCTATTAATGTAAGGCAGATTTCAATCGATGTGTAATAATAATAGTAATAATAATATGTCCTGAAATCACACTAATGTGATATATATCAATGAGAAAATCCACTTGGGCTGTTAGGTGACACGAACCTCCGAGCAAGGAATTGCCAGCTGCAAACTCTACCACTGTGCAACCACTGACTTGTAAAAGTCATACAGCTGGATTTTTTCTTTGAAAAGGTGCAAAGACATGCGACTATATGGTGTAGAAATTATATTAAGATAAATATAATTGCTCCAAATTCTCAGAACTTTCGTGATTACCAACAAAGACTTTGGTGACTTTGGTGACTTTGTTAGCCAACAAAGATTCAGATGCCATTTGTACATTTGCCGATAAAACATCTTAATGTTGAACACAAATAAGGAAATTCACAGGACAAAGTAGCATTTTTATGTAACTACTATGATGTGCATAATGAAATAAAAAGCACTTATATAATTGGTGATAATATTAAAATAATATAATAACAACATATTGCAATCTGTTTGAAGATTCAATCATAATCTATGACTCAAGTGAATTAGGCTTTCATTCATTATACGTTAGGTGTTTACTATTATAAATGGACTGCTAAACGTTTCCTTCCTTATATTTGATCATATGCTGCAATTCCTCATGAAAAATAATTATAATATCAAATAGCAATCATTAAAAATATTAACAATAAAAAAACGTTTTCTCGTCAATATAATTTTAAATATTACTTTGTCGATGTAAAAACAAGGTGTGATAATTCTTGCAACAACTTGCTACCTCGAAAAGCAGTGTTGCAAAGTTTAGAACCCCCCCCCCCTCCGCCCACATTCCTACCCATGAAAGAGACTTTCATGACTGTACAATGCTGTACCTAGGTTAGATTAGCATTTTAAAAGCCCGCCAATCATCTGCGATCGAGTGTTCACTAACTCTCTACAATCTTCCATTATAATGGCCTGTTGTCCCCCCCCCCTCCATCAGACCTCAGGCTGATGACACTACTTTAATAAAAGTCGTAATAAAAAACTGAGGATAATTGAAAAACAAAGGTAACTGTCAACAGGTGTATTCAGAGAACAATTGCAGAGAATAATTATAAAATGCGCTAGAAAATGTAATTATAATGTGCCTGTAAATCTTAAAGGTTCCAGACTAGAGGAACGAAACATTGGAAACCATTAAAATTAATATCCAACAAAGACTTTTAAGGAGACAATCACAAGTAATACTCACTAGTAACAGCGTCCTTTTAAACCTAGAAATCACAATTTAATATTCCAATATCTAATGCAATAACTAAGGCTAATTCCCTTAAGGTGTCACAACCTATAACATTACAAATGTGCATCACTGCCTACGATAATGGGTTAGGCCTGACACATTAAACAGGGCCTGACATGGACACTCAAAGACTACTTTACTGAAATTTGCAGTCTTCGTCCAGCAGTTCTTCCTCTTGGGATGTCCAGGAACAGTTTGAGTTGTAAAGGGCCGAAGGATGGAGGGAGGGGGGAGGGGAAGTTGTGCCAGCAGACACCACATTGCCAATTGTATGTTAAGAACTCTTCGAGCCAGCAGACACCATATTGTCAGTTGTATGTTAAGAACTCTTCGAGCCAGCAGACACCATATTGCCAGTTGTATGTTAAGAACTCTTCGAGCCAGCAGACACCATATTGCCAGTTGTATGTTAAGAAATCTTCGAGCAAGCAGACACCATATTGCCAGTTGTGTGTAAACGACTTCTCGTGCCAGTAGACACCATATTGCCGGTTGTATGTTACGTCTCTTGCTTAACTATTTTCCATATTCAAAGTTTACTTTTGCGTACTTTTTACAGTTGTAGAAAATATAGTCAACAATTGACATTATTCCTATGGACAATAATTACCGTTAATTGTAATCCATAGTGTCCACACTGGCTGCCTTAACTAAGGACGTAAGCTTTATAAGGCTAATACATGGCATCAACACGTCAGCTGACTGTCAGGGCGGGCTGAATGACATCGTTACATGTTTCCCCCTGTGAGGAAGGTCGGATCAACATACAAGTACTTATAAACTCTACCATATATATACTGGGTTTATATATCAGACTTATTCCTCTACAGATCGCCCGTATGTATCCCGAGTGGGTAGTGAGAGTCTACACCATCCCACAGCCCACCCTTGCTGCTGACTTCTGCCCACTCCTGAGACGTCACCCCCATCTGTACATCTGTGACGTCACCAACCTGCCACAACCCTTGGGCAACATATCCGGCCTCCAACCCACGATGTGGCGCACGGCCCCCCTGGGGGACCCCCAGCTGACACACCTCATGGTCCGGGACACTGACTCACAGGTGCCAGATCATCTCTCATGCATCTCTGCCTCCTCGAATACATTCTTTTTCTCACCATTTCTTGCCTTTATTCGTCATGTTTTCTATGTTTTATGTATTTGTGTATTTCAGTGTACTCATCTAGCTATATTCATCTAGGTATAGTCACCTAGTTTTACTCATCTAGTTATATTCATCTAGTTTTACTCATCTAGTTATATTCACTAAGTTTTACTCAACTAGTTATATTCAAGTGGTTATACTCATCGAGTTATATCAACCTAGATGTGCATTCTGGACCAGACATCTTCTGCTATATCCCACCTTTCGACCATCAGTAGTTCAATTTAGTAACAATTTTTTTACTCATTTTTTTTAAGTATTGAACTACACATTCAATGATATAACACGTTACTGTGATTTCTCTGTGTATTGAAAAAGGGGCATCAGTGGTAGAATTATTAGACGACAGAGCAAGAGTTCATGGCTCTGTAGAATTGTGTAAAATCCTAGTTCGGCACCGGTACAGAGAACATATACGGCACGCATAGACGCAATAAAGCACCTAAATTATTGGGATCGTCTCAAAGCCCTCCAAATGTACTCACTAGAAAGAAGACGAGAGAGATATCAAATAATATACACCAGGAAGATACTGGAGGGCCAAGTACCAAATCTACACAGTAAAATAACAACGTACTGGAGTGAACGACATGGAAGAAAATGTAGAATAGAACCAGTGAAAAGCAAAGGTGCCATAGGCACAATCAGAGAACACTGTATAAACATCAGAGGTCCGCGGTTGTTCAACGTCCTCCCAGCAAGCATAAGAAATATTGCCGGAACAACCGTGGACATTTTCAAGAGGAAACTAGATTTATTCCTCCAAGGAGTGCCGGACCAACCGGGCTGTGGTGGGTATGTGGGCCTGCGGGCCGCTCCAAGCAACAGCCTGGTGGACCAAACTCTCACAAGTCGAGCCTGGCCTCGGGCCGGGCTTGGGGAGTAGAAGAACTCCCAGAACCCCATCAACCAGGTATCAACCAGGTAGAATTCTCAGGAATCCTCGTGAGTTCAGCAGACCCCCAGGTTGGAATTGTTTTGACCATGTCGTGGCCTAGTCGTCTAGAATGTGTGTGTCTAGGAATACCCAGCGCATAGATTCGAATCCTCATCACAGCTCCTGTGGATTTTTCGTGTATTGAACTGTTCCCAAAATTTACTCATATTGTTCGCTCCACTCATTAATAAGGCTTAGACTTAGCCCCCTCATCAACATCTCCTTGTGTGGGTACCGACCTGTGAGATTTATATTTACATTAATTTATATATTTCGATAGCAATTTCTATGATGTTAAGTGGACTGTATTTCTACAATAATCTCACAAATCGATCCACTACACATTAGAGGGGGGTTTATATTGAATTTATATATATGCAGCCAATCAAACTACAGTATTAAACTACATATATTAGTATACATTGAGGAGGTTCCTTATCTTATTACACAGCAGGCTTAGTCCACCAGATATAACTAGGATGTAGACACCAAATTATCCTCTGTGAGGCAGCTTCGATCACCCAGTAACTGGTACACAAACTTTGCTTCCTCTTCTTGACCTGTCAAAGGCACTAGCTGTAAAGCCAGAATCCTAATATATGGCAGCTATATCAGAGAAAACACTGTACAATGATTAAATAAAGACCAAGGCTTAATTACCTTTTTTTAAGAAGCTATTCACATTCTAACCAGTTCGCCCTATCTACTGACATTAATGGTCAAAAATGATTAGATAAACGGGTTTCGGCAGAACACTTCCCTTGAGATTGATGGCAGGGTGTTGATGATAGAAGACCTTTGGTTTCCATAAGGCTTCGTCCAAGAGAATTGATAGGAGCTGTTTACTCCTGTGCACCTCTGGTCTAACAACAATGGCTGACCACTCCCTCCTCACTACTGACGCTACTGGCCTACATTGTCCAGATATCAGAAAGTGATAGAAGGGTCACATTTACTCTATTTTAATACTGATAATTAAATTAATTTATATGAGATGTTTTTATGATGTAAAAGTCCAAAGACTAATGTATTTAATAATAATTCCCAGCAGAATAGCTGGTGAATTTATATTAGTATGTGGCAATGATATCCCCTTTTCTATTGACAGAAAATTTTACTACAAGCTACATTTTCTATGGGTAACTTGTTTATACAATGCAGCAATATTATCTGCAATTGCATGTTATATTATTAAATGGTGTCGGATTTTCCGACACTTTGGTCCCCCCCACTTAGTTCCTTCCCCCTCTCTTCCCTCCCTTTTCCCCCTTCTTCCTCTGCTTCCCCACCTCTTATGATCTCAGCCTACAGGAGAAACGAGTCTCCCCCCTTGAGAGTTATTCAGCAAGTCTGACCTAACCGGAAGGTCTAGGAAATATAGAGGCGATAACACAGATGTAAAATAGTTGGTTGGATTTTAATAACAATTCGAGATTATGGGCAGTGAAGAAGAAAACAGATAAATGACTGGCTAGGAGATGTGGACATTTTGCTGGAGGCGTGAGGCTCGCTTCTGGAGGGCTTTGACCTCACTTGAGTGCCAGACATCGCGAGGGGAAGCTGTGCTGTGTGAGCTCCTGTCAGAGAGGGACCCCCTAGTGATATATCTCCAAGAGAAGAGAAGTGTCCAGACGTCCCAGCTGTGGAATCGAGCTGGGAACGTTGTGGTCTCAAATCCTGGTCGACGAGGAGAGTATTAAGCCACCCAGAGGCATTTTCGTGGGCTGTGTGGAGCGCCGTGACCAGATGCTGTCAAAGGGATAGCGCCCTCGACTAGACAATCTGTGGTAAGCGCGATTTAAGCCAGTCCATAGTGATTGCTTGTAGTTGGTCGTGTGCCCAGCGACAGTAGCAATGTTTATTGATAAGTTAGACATGTTTTAATAAGGCAGAAAGCCTGAAATAAGTGAGTGGAGAGGGAGGAACACGGAGCGACGTCCGTCTCCTCTGAGCGCTGGCAGGCAACTGAGGGAGCGGTCCTTGCTCCTGACGGCGGAGGACCGCCGCCAGGCGAGGTGGAGTATGGACCCGCTCAAAAACGGGGGAGTCCACTCTCACAGGATGTAGAGGACAGATAGAGGTTTGAGGCAAAAAAATTGTGTGATTATTTTTGTTTATGTGTTAAAGGGGAAACATTTTTATTGGAGTGTCGATGGGTTGCAGGTTTGTCTTTGGGGAAGAAGTTGCTGAGAACTTTGAAGCCAGCACAGATGAAGTAGTTGATGAGACTCCAAGGTAGTGGAGGTGAGGACCTCGAGCTGTGAGGAGAAGCAGTGAAGAGGAGTGTCACGGGCTTCTGTAGAGGTGGTGAAGCACCATAGTTGTTCGAGGGAACTTCATGGTGTAGCAGCCAAGAGAGCTGTGGAGGACCCTAGCAGAAGGGTGAAGCACCGTAGTTGCTCAAGGAAACTTCATGATAGCAACCTGGAGGAGCTGCAGAGGATCCTGGTAGTTAAGCCCGGAAGAACCTGAAGATATCAGGGTAGTGAACTTCCAGAGGTGGAAGGGAAGTTCTGGTGGATTACTTGTAGGGAGTTGATAGTGTTTGGTTGTCATTAGCGTGCAAGACGCAGTGAGAGGTGAGTGATTGTTTGCATTCTTATGTCAAGGAGTGTTTTATACCGAAGTTTAGAGTTACAGTCGTAGGCTGGATTACCTACAAATGTATGTGTTCTAGGACTAATAGGGTGGTCGATTGATCATTGTTGTGTATCAAGGAACATTTATACTGATATATGTTATTGCATTCATATGCTGATTTTCCTTGTACACGTTTAAATATATATATATATATATATATATATATATATATATATATATATATATATATATATATATATATATATATATATATATATATATATATATATATATATATATATATTTTGGTAGCAGTCTTTCCTGTAGACATATATTATTAAATATGACCGAAAAAGTAAGATTAATAATTCTAACACGAATTTTCTCAATCTTTCGTACATTACGCTTCACTGTTGGAGGTAAATCAAAAATCAATTCTCCAAAATTCATTTTTATTTCTAGTCTGACGCGACACGGGCGCGTTTCGTAAAACTTATTACATTTTCAAAGACTTTAGTTCACAAATACACAACTGATTAGAACTTACGTATCTCCGATTTTATATCTACATTTGAGTGAGGTGGGAGGGGTGATGTGGCATTAACACAAGACAGAACAAGAGGGGATATTAATAGGGTATTAAAAGTATCAACACAAGACAGAACACAAACAATGGGTATTGAATAGAAGTGTTTGTAGAAAGCCTATTGGTCCATATTTCTTGATGCTTCTATATTGGAGCGGAGTCTTGAGGTGGGTAGAATATAGTTGTGCAATAATTGGCTGTTGATTGCTGGTGTTGACTTCTTGATGTGTAGTGCGTCGCAAACGTCAAGCCGCCTGCTATCGCTGTATCTATCGATGATTTCTGTGTTGTTTACTAGGATTTCTCTGGCGATGGTTTGGTTGTGGGAAGAGATTATATGTTCCTTAATGGAGCCCTGTTGCTTATGCATCGTTAAACGCCTAGAAAGAGATGTTGTTGTCTTGCCTATATACTGGGTTTTTTGGAGCTTACAGTCCCCAAGTGGGCATTTGAAGGCATAGACGACGTTAGTCTCTTTTAAAGCGTTCTGTTTTGTGTCTGGAGAGTTTCTCATGAGTAGGCTGGCCGTTTTTCTGGTTTTATAGTAAATCGTCAGTTGTATCCTCTGATTTTTGTCTGTAGGGATAACGTTTCTATTAACAATATCTTTCAGGACCCTTTCCTCCGTTTTATGAGCTGTGGAAAAGAAGTTCCTGTAAAATAGTCTAATAGGGGGTATAGGTGTTGTGTTAGTTGTCTCTTCAGAGGTTGCATGGCTTTTCACTTTCCTTCTTATGATGTCTTCGATGAAACCATTGGAGAAGCCGTTATTGACTAGGACCTGCCTTACCCTAC